TTTCTAACAAATTTATATATTTTATTGTTACATTTGTTATTTCAAATTTTATTTAGAACAATTTTACAAAAATTGGGAGACAAAAATAGGTTAATTGACAGTTGAGCATTGTAAAACAATGTGAACATAGTTTGTACAGAGATTCAGTATAACAAATATTTCATAACTTCAGTGTCCATTATTGACATGGTTAGCAGAAAATTTTAAATAAAGCAAATATCCTTTTAGAACATTTTGAACTCTATATCTGTCGTTTACATTATTGAATAGTTTCTTGGAAGTATTACATACAGTAATATCACAATTTACCTTACATATTAAAAGAATTGATATATACATTTAGCTATAATATGAACAAATAACTGCTCCTGTATTGTTAAACAACAGCTAATGTAAGTATCATAAAACTGAAAAGAAATATGAATTATTGAAAGTTCTATGTTAAATCATCAAATGTATTTGGGTTAGTTTGTATTCGACAAAGTAAGACAATAAAATTGTCCTAAACAATCAATTTTTGTTCTACATCTATTAAAACTTCCATTTAATATTTGGCTCATTTTTGTATTTTTTCATGTAAAACTTCTTTCAAGTTTTAATGGATATGAAAATGCAACAATTTTCATTATCTTTATTATATGTAGAATATTGTCAATAGATCAGCTAGGATTTACATCAAGATAAAGTTATAGTGGAATGTAATTTGAACAAAGAATTCTTTTACCTCATTTTCATTGAAAAAAATATTTTGCATTTCTTTTTCTTACACTATCTATGATGCTACTTGATTCTTACTAGGTACAATATTTACAAATTCCCTTGTTTACACTATTATTATTATAACGAACCCTCTACAAAAATATGGAAAAAAATATATGGTTCTATTTAAAAAAACACTGATGACTTTGAAATCCCATAAAAGGAAAGAAATGTGTAACTTTGTCTTAAGAAGTTTTTTCATATGACCATAAAGAATAGAAGTATTTAGGTGTTTCCATTTAATCCCTTTTAAATGCTCCACCTTGTACATGTCTTTGTTGCCTGTTTGTCATCTATAAACTGTAATTTGTTCATCATTTCCCACAACATATAACATCGATAATAATTAATATTTTCTGTAACGTATATTTGTTCTAAACAGATTTCATTTAAAAAATAAAATTTGTCATTGGCAAAAATTTGAACGTTTGATTCTCAATTAAACGTTTCATTTTTTAAATACAGAATTAAATAAAAGTAAAAACAATTTAAAGAAAATCAATCTAATTTCGAATCTAAATATTTAAACAGTATCCTACGTTTTACTATTACCAAAATTATTTCAGAACTTTCCCAATGATACTGTTTACATATTAAAACATTAATTTCAATCAGTTATCCTAAGTAATTTCGTCGAACATATAGAGCTAGTGACATGTAAACGAAAAAACAGTTGTAATCGAATTTTTGTTGGAATTCGGGGTAATGAAACCAATAAAAAAAAAAAAAAGCAAATTTTCCGGTGATTAGGATTAATCGTGAGACGAAGGTGCGAATTTCGGTGGGAATATGTAGTTCATTAAAGTGACGCGTTGAAATGCGACTCGTGCGCACTGTTTACGATTCAAATTAATTTCGTTCCTTCATTTACCCAACCTGATTCGAGCTGCAATTTATTTATTACCCAGTGACATATGTTTCCGTGCAAAAAGCCTCCACTTATTTCGATGTGTTGCTCGTTACATTAAGCGCAAATCATTCTCAATTGGAACTAATGGATGTTCTATGTACAGTCGAAATGTGAGAATTAAGAGGATCAATTTTAATTCTCGTGTTTCAATATCTTCTTAGCATCTGCAGGATTGTTAAAGAATTTATGAGTTTGAGCATAGTTAGCGTAATAAGATGTGATGTTGGATTGTTATTCTATTAAATGTAAATGCAGTTAAAGATATATTCTTCGACCTCACATTCGATTTTAGGTTAAAGGAATAACAGAGGTTAGAAAATTGGAAAGTAAACAAATCTGTGTTTTTAGAATTGGACACTGCGTAAAACAGTAAATATAGTAAATTAAAAATCGTTTCTTTTATTACTAGTAAATTTACTGTTGCAATTCTTTGTGGAATTTAATTGTGATTTTGATGAAATATAACAAAATTTCGATGTGAGGGCGGAAAGTAAATAATGCCTGCAACGGTGATACTGGTTTCGAAGCGATTTTATTTTCTTGAAACTGTCAAAACAATGGTATTATTTTAACTCACTATTGTTTGCATTGAACAGATAGTTAAATAAATCGTACGTTTTTTTCGTTTGCTTTTTGAAAATATTGTGTTATCTTAATATTTAATACAAATCAAAACTTTTATTGGCAACTGTGACACTTTATATTAGATTGAGCAAAGTTCCATTTTTCTACAATTTTAAACAAAAATAATCAAGTTGCCATTAGAATAAAAATTTCTTGAAAAAAGAAGAATAAATTTGTTAGTAACTTTTCCGACCAGTTAGTTACAAAATTAATTATTTTATCAAATTAGCTTAATTTTTCAGTAGATAACACTTTTTTATTCGTAAGATTCGCTTTAGAGGCGGATTCAGCATTTTAAGGCAATATAAAATGTATTCGCATAAATGCACATCTAATTTATACGGGTTGTCAATTTATAGTTATTCAGTATATTACTAAAAATATTAGTACATTTATAAAATTAAATAAATTCAA